AACTCTCACAATATAGTAATTTTGGGGCATGCATCGATGGAGCCTTTCATGTTTTTGTTTGGATTATATAGGGCACACTACAAGTTATATGGAGCAAGAATATGATTGGAAATTTTGTCCTTGTGTGGGCTTTCGTCTAAATTGATTCCATTAGCCCAGTGGTGCAAAAGGTTAAACCACTGAGCAGCTGAACTTGCTGACCTGAAGGTTGACAGTTCAAATCTGCAGGACGGGGTGAGCTCTTGCTGCTAGCTCTAGCTCCTGCCAACCTAGCAGATCGAAAACACGCAAATGTGAGTAGATCAATAGGCAGCACCTCGGCGGGAATGCAAGCAGGCATTTCATGCAAGTTATGCTGGCCACACAACCAGGATGTGTCTATGGACAACGCAGGCTCCTCAGCTTGGAAATGGAGATGAGCACCACCTCCAGAGCAAGAGATGAAAGGAGAAGCTTTTGCCTTTGTCTTTGTCTGTGTATTTGTGTTTCATTGTATTAAGGCATTGAACGTTTGCCTGTGTTAGTATATATGCTGCAATCCACTCTGAGTTCCCTTGGGAAGATAGGGCAAAATATATATCCACTGCATTCCCACCCCCATCTCAATGATCATGTGCATTTTTTTCTGGTATTGCTTCCTTCATTTGTGATTGTGCATAGACATGCATAGAATGGGATGCATGACGGCCATTGTGTGATTTCATACAACCTTAAGTGTGTGTGTGTTTTCTGTAATGTGTGTATATTCTCACAATATAAATCCTGCCTTTTGAAAACAGATAAGAAATAACTTCAGAAATTAAATAGTATGAATACAGTAAAAACAAAAAGCCAGAGCTAGCAGAAAGTTCCTTATAAGATGCAGTAGAAAAAGCAACTCTCAAGGGAGAGAGGGAGGGAGATTTGCACTTCTTCCCTGTAGCTGCAGACCTATTGAAAATGCCTTCCTTGCTCCTGCCTGGTGCCAATCGCAGCATTCCTTTTGTGCCAAAGGGAAGCATCTGTCTTTGCCACATACCATTATCCCTCCCTCACCTCCACTTTGAGGCTGTTTTAAAATTAATTGTGCAATGCCAAAGTCGCCTCTACTGATCTGTTGTTTTCTTCATCTTTTTCCCCTTCTTCTCTGTACTTATTGGAATGTTTGCTCACCTGCTTGTTTATCCCCTGAGCATTTTTCACTCACATCACAGCATCATGATGAAGTGCTGCGAACAAGGATTTTAAACAGCCCCTTTTCTATTTCCATTTTTTCTGTGCCGTTGATTACTTTTCAAAATGTTCACAGTCTGCGTTTGCAACGAATAATTTCTTTTGCGCTCATTCTGAAAGCATCCTTAGAAACAAATCAGAAACCACTGCGTTCTGAGTGAAATGAGCTGAGAAAGAAGAAGTCAGTTGCTGACAGTCACAACTGTCTTGACCTGTAGCACAGCGCCTGGTGGGTGAATTTTTGCCACTGCATGTGCAAATGTAGTATATTTTGTACTTAGGCAGGGTAGTTGGGTCTGCTGTGTGGAGGGAACGTATCCTGAAAGCCATGCTATCCTTGATTTTTTCTTTGGGAGATGGCATAGATTTATTTATTTTATTTATTTTATTTCCTATACTTATATCCCGCCCTTCCCACACACCCCCCCCCCCCAGGAGGGGGGACTCAGGGAGGCCTCACAACAAGCATCATAAGATGCATTACCATCATAAAACAATAAAAAACATTCAACAATTACAATTGAAAACAATTAATTCAATTAATTAGATCAGTGGTTCCCAACCTTTGGTCTGCCAGGTATTTCAGAGTTCAGCCTCCACAATTCCTAACAGCTTGTAAACCGGCTGGGATTTCTGGGAGTTGAAGTCCAAAACAAGCAAAGGACCAAAAGTTGGAAGCCACTGGCATAGATGAACTACAATTGCAGGCCAACTCCCATTCTACCCATAATTCCTTATGAAATTATGGTCATAATTACCCAGTTAACACAGACCACTGATCTTAATTATATGCAAATATTTCACATTATTGTCTACCATGGACATTTAGCTTCCCCCTAGTATTTTACTCTTCTAAAAATGAATTAGAATAATGGAATCAAAGCATTGGTAGGGGCCTCATGGGCTATCAGGTCCAATCCACTACTCTTCATCTAAAGTATCTCCAGCATGTGACCTAATTTGATAACAGAATATCCTTACAAGAACACCTTATTTTGCTGTAACTATGCACATTGTGCATGTATCCGACCAGTCAAAATAAAAAGGGAGATACAAAAAGGGAGATAATTTTCAGCTGTAAGTAAGGAGATTGAGATGACTTCTCATAAATGAAAATTCAATAAAACTGTTTCAAATCAATTTGAAATTGGTCAGTATTTAGCTTGGAGGATGTTTTTCTTTCTCATAACAAGAATAATATAAAATTCTAGTGTGACAAATTCAGTTAAAGGGCTCTATCACACGAGGTTAAAAGATAATAATAATAATCTTATAATCATAACTTTATTTTTATACCCCGCCTCCATCTCCCCGAAGGGACTTGGGGCGGCTTACAAAGGGACATGCCCAAAAAAGCAGGTTAAAATAAGCATAGAAAAACAAGCGATATCAAACATCAATAAACATAAAATCAGACAACATTATAAAAACGATTAAAAGCTATCAAGGCTAAGCAGTTATCCTGCTGTAACTGATCACAGTTATAGCAGGATAATACAATTTCTTTGGCTAGTACTTATTATGTGTTCCCATGTTTTTCCTGCTACTGACTTTGCTTTTCAAGCATTAGTGGAATACATCTTTTCATTGATGGAAAAAGCTATTAATGGCTCCCAGTATTGCTGCTCTTCCAATGCTGTCTCTGGTGCAATGGTTTCCTTCCGTTGCAGTTGTGCTCTTCCAACCGTAAATTGGCAGGAGTTGCTTCTTCTCTCCTTCTCCCCCTCACTATTCCCAAGCAAAGTGAGATTGCTTTTACTTCATTTTTCTTTTCACATATATTTCAATTTTAATTTTGTGCATTTTATCATTTATAAAAGAGATAATTCCAATGTTTTTCTCTTTTGAAAAGGGTTGCCATAATATATGTTCTTTTGCTAGAGCAGAGGCTCCCAACCTTTTTTTGACCAGGGACTACTTGACCAGGGACCACTTTGAGCAGGGACCACTCTCCTACATTAGTACCAAAAGGGTTATGAATCGGTTTTTGGGGAGCTGATTCAGAAAATTGCATTGGATAGACCACATCAGCTCTAGTTTCTGATACAGAACATATGCCATCCAGTAGTCTCCATCTGGCTGCCCACAGAAAACGATATCTAATAATCTAGAGCTGATGTGGTAGTAGTAATCATTTGTGGGTAGTCAGCCTCTCCCATCCCGACATCCCCATTGCCTCAGCACTATAAGAGGGTTTTGCGAGGTTTTGAGGCAATGGTGTAGTAATGGTGAGGCTACGGACCACATTTTCATTCTTGTGGACCACTGGTGGTCCATGGACCACAGATTGGGAGCCACTGCCCTAGAGATTAGGGAGTATCTAATGAAGCTGAATTGAGATAATTTAAAAGGAGCAATAGAAAACTCAAAAGGAAAGGGCTAATGATGTTACTCTGATTAGGTGATGGATTCTATAGTGCTTAAAAACATATTGCTTTGAATGCGTTCTTTCAAAAAGAAGGTCACAAAGCACAGGAATGAGGCTGCAACTGTTTCTCATTGCTAGTGATGTCATAAACAAAATATAATAAGTGCCCATGGCCTGTAGCCATATTCTATATAGCATTCAAAATTGAAATGGCTGTTCTCATGGAAGTAAATGCATCATTTCTCTGGAATGAGCTATTTCAGGTTTACTTTGGAGAAAAGATGGATTTTTACCAACCAGGAATGTTTTGCAGATAGTAGTTTGGATCTCATCAAACACCAAACAAGCGCACAAGTACAATGCAAAAATAACACTATTGAGAAACCCTGTTAGATATGTGAACTACTTCCCTTGTACACTATGTAGCTTCAAAGCACAGTTTAGCTCAACATTCAACACTGTGGTTCTCTTTGAAATGTTTCTACCTAAGTGTGACCCTCCAGTTTGGAGTGACAGCCTGCATGTGTCACAGATTCTTTTGCTCTGTACAGTTGGTATACACACCTCACATTTCAGTAAATGAGTCACACCTCTATGTTTTTGGGTTTAACTTTTGCAGATTTGATTATCTGAAGATTTCCCCATTTTTAAAGGGTCCTTCATCCCTAACCCTAGTGAATGTGGAGGGCTGAAGGATCAGACATGGGCAAACTTTGGCCGGCCAGGTGTTTTGGACTTCAACTCCCACAATTTCTAACAGCTGGCTGTTAGGAATTGTGGGAGTTGAAGTTCAAAGCACCTGGAGGGCCGAAGTCTGTCTATGCCTGATGTAAGTATACCTTGTCACTTACCCCAAAATCACACTTTCATAGATAGTTAATGCTGGTAGAAAGTGACACTTGTGTTTTTCTAGTACTCTCTCTTATTATTGTGTAATTTCCAAATGATCTGGAACTCACAACTACTGTGTAAATTATCAGAGGTTGAATTCTATAGGCAAAGAATGGCCTGGAAGGACCACTAGCCTGGTAATGACTTGGTATTGACTTTAAACATTTTTAAAACCTCAGTGTTAGCGCCTAATCATACTGTCACATGCTACAAACACAGTAAAGGTACGCTCTCCTTTTCATCATCATCATCATCATCATCATCATCATCACCATCACCATCATCATCACTTTATTTCTTAATTAGTCGCTCTCCACCAAAGTGCTCCGAGCGACTTACAATTTAAAATAGCTTTTCAAAAGAAGAATGTGTGAAGATCTCCTTATGGGACATTCTCCCCCTTCCATTTGCATGTTACAAATGTTTGGAGAGGGACATTGGGAAGGCGGGGGGGGGGGGGTTATATGTGCAAGTTGTTGGATGCTAGGGTCAGTGATGTGTGAAGCATCGGGTTTCAGCAGCATGGTTCCTAAACCAAGTCCCTCTTTCTGAAGAAGCGACAGATGCACATATAGGTTGCCTGCATCCCACCGATTCCAGCAAATGGGCATGGCTCTCCTGATTGTCCCTTAAGGACCATTATTCTTCTTCCATCTGTGATACTCCGCGAAATGGGTGTGTCCCCCTCTGAGGATCTGAGAGGCATTCTAGTAAAAAGATAAATTTCTTCCTTGCGATCTTAGGCTTTGGGTGTTCCTTATTCTGGGAAGAGATTTAAAGCTGTCTGCCAGACCCGTGGGCTGTTAAAACAAGACAGTGCCACAATGCTGAGCTCAGGCCTGCGGAGTCCCCTCCTCCCCCCACTCCTCCTCCTGTTGCTCACAGCCATGGAGCTGAGCTGGTCCTTTTCAAGCGAGGACAAAAAGCTGATCCTGGACCTGCACAACCAGTACCGGTCGAAGGTCTCACCTCCAGCAGCAGATATGTTGAAAATGGTAAGTGAGAAGTGGGTAGTAGCCCTGGATGCGGCTGCAATGTGGGAATGCAGGGGGTCTTCTGATCCTAATTTGCGAAGGACCTTTCTATTGAAACAGCAACTTCTTTTGTGTTTCATAAAGTCCCTCTTCCACCTTCCTTTCTGTGAAGCATCTGCATCAAACTGATGAGGCAAAGGTATCTGAGTCTTTTGAGATCTAACTGAATCCAGGTAGATGGTGTCTGCAAACCTGCTTAATGCTTACTCGTGCATGATGCCAGATAAATACTTGTTATAGCCAATAGGAATGTATGTGCGTAACTTTAGAGGTTAGCTAACCCCTTGGGCTCTCTTGAGATGTTTGCACTAAGTGTTTTTCTGGGATCTTTAAGTGGAAAGGATTATCCCAATTTTATCAACATCCTGTTGTGAATTAGCCTATGATTATTAAGTCAAAGAAAGCGGTGTGGTCTTGGCTACAGGACTTTGGATCCTGGCTGAGCTGCTCTATAAACTTGGGCATGTTCCTATTCTTCTCATCCCTCCCACTCTTATCTGTATAAGAAGAATACACAACTTCTTGGATCCCAGTTCTCATCCCAGGATCATTTGGGCTGTACAGGTGGAGGCAATGGGGCAGTGCTTTGTTATTTTGGAAGATATGGTGGGACATGTGCAATTCATTAGCTGCAGGGGATACAAGGCAGACCTCTTTTGTTTAGGTTTTGCTAGCGTTGCAGGGAAATTGGCTCACCAAGAGCAGTTTGACATTGCTAATTCATTTTGATTTCCTCTCCTCCTCCTTCCGAAACAATTACCATCGAAATCTTGTGTGCAATTTCATTATGCAGTTGTCTTAGACATCTGTTCATAGTGCTTGTCTGATCACTGAATATTTGAAAGCCCATATTTATCCATATGAGTGTGCCTGACCTTCACAGTCTTGGATGGGGGCTTTCACAGGCTCTTCTAGGGAGGACATTGGAAAGAGCCTTCTCAGTGGCTGCTCCGAGGCTGGGAAACCATCTCCCATGCATCTCTCAGTTGGCTCCCTGTTTGCTGTCTTTTTCCCCCCAGGATCATTTTATCTGAACAGGGCTTTGGCTTTTAATAATACCACTTTCATAGAATCATAGAATCATAGAGTTGGAAGAGACCTTGTTGGCCATCCAGTCCAACCCCCTGCCAAGAAGCAGGAACATCACATTCAAAGCAATTTTATTTATAACATATCCTCTCTCTCTAGAACTGGAAGTGAATGACTTTTTTAATGAAGTGTGCTGTATCTTTTATTACACTATGTAACACATTTTTGTTCCTGTGTTATAAATGTCATTTCCTAATTGGTTCTATCATAAATCATGGGAAAGGTTTAGTAAACTGCACAAGGGCTGTTGTAGGTTTTTTCAGGCTATATGGTCTAGAGGCATTCTCTCCTGACGTTTCACCTGCATCTATGGCAAGCATCCTCAGAGGTAGTGAGGTCGGTTGTAACTAGGCAAAAGGGTTTATATATCTGTGGAATAACCAGGGTGAGACAAAGGACTCTTCTCTGCTGGAGCTAGGTGTGAATGTTTCAACTGCCTTCGACAATACATCAAACTGCACAAACTTTGTTTTTGTGGGACATCCTGCAGCACATTTTGCTATTGTTTGTGGCAGCCACAAAAACAAAGTTTATGGAGTATAAAAACTACTTTCAAAGTAAGTACTGCCCAATTAATCAGGAAACAACACTTTCAAACTAGGAATAGAAAACTGTTCAAATTTTGTTACATAGTGTTATGTTTTGAATATGATTTTGACTCGTCTTACTGTTTTCATCAGACTGTTGTTTTAGCGGTTTCCAAACTTGTGCTATGTATTGTTCCAGCTGTATTTTGTTTTAACCAATATTCGAAGTCCTTTTGAGCCCCAAATTAGGAGAAAGGTGGGGAACTGGTTAATTCAATGATTTACGAATGAGTCAATCACAATGCTATAACTGTACTACACTCTACTCCCACCTCTCATCCACAGTCTTAGAATCATAGAATCATAGAGTTGGAAGAGACCTCTTGGGCCATCCAGTCCAACCCCCTGCCAAGAAGCAGGAAAAGTGCAATCAAAGCACCCCAAGAGATGGCTATCCAGCCTCTGCTTACAAGCCTCCAAAGAAAGCGCCTCCACCACACTCCGGGGTAGAGAGTTCCACTGCTGAACAGCTCTCACAGTCAGGAAGTTCTTTCTATTTTTGAGGTGGAATCTCCTTTCTTTTGGTTTGAAGCCATTGTTCCATGTCCTGGTCTCCAGGGCAGCAGAAAACAAGCTTGCTCCCTCCTCCCTATGACTTCCCCTCACATATTTATACATGGTCTTCTTTTGTTTTCACTCTTGTAATATTTCATCCTGGTTGCAGTGTTAAGAGTTTTCCACAGTGTCCTTTAGAAACAATTGGGCATATTTGCTCTGCCTGCCTGTTCACGTTGCATTAGAGGCCAAAAACAGCCACTGTTACCGGCATTGTAGGTAGCTGTTTTAATGATGAAGGTGTGATAGAGTGGTGCAGCTCAGCTGGTTGAGCTGAGACAGCGAGTGGCTGCTGCTGAGCTTACCTGTTTTAAAATACTGACTTCTGCTTCTTTCAGCTGGAGACTGATGGAGAGCCTTGGACCAGCTTGAGTGAGATGAAAAAGTAAAAAGGATTCACTTTATTTTTGGGGGGCAAAGGGGGAAACAAAACAGAAGTAAATTTCCATATTTACTTGAGTCTAACACTCACATTTATTGGCTAAATTACATCACTAAAATTGAGGTGTGGATTATATTTAATTTATATTAGAATTGTGCACCTAAACCAACCTGCACTGTTGGGCAAGAGATCCCAGCTGGGGACAGAGGAGGGAGAGGCAGTGGTGGTTGTGAAAGGGCTGGTGGAAAGCTGATGATGGCCACTAATAGGTTGATGGGAAACAGAGTGGCACAGGTTTCCACCAGCCTTTTCGTGGCCACCACTGCCTTGCATTACATTTGACAGCAAATCTTTTTTTTTTGTACTGCACACCTTCCAGATTGAAGTGTGCATTACATTCGTTGGTGCATTATACTTGAATAAATATGGCAATTTGGAAACAGATGCAAATAGGGGACTAATTTATGAGGACAAAGAGAAAAGGATTTGTGTGTTTTGTTTGTTTTAACCTTTGCAACTCAGACTACACTTCTGCCTTATGTGTTAGATAAGTTGCTGTAGTCAGTGAGTAAAGTACATGGTGATAGAATTTCAAAATATTGGTACAATTCCTTTAAAAGCCCTGCTTCTTGTACTTTCTGACTTGGTGAATAGCTAGGTTAGAGATAAAGCAGAGCTTCTGCTAGTGATCGGAGTCAACAGTGAGGGATCTATGGGCAAAAACCTTTCTTGGAATACTTTGGAGACATGAGCCAAATGCTGCAAGTTCAAATAAATTACAGATATACCTATAACAAAGCAGATCTTCTTCAACATAATATTTGTTACCAGAGGCAGAAACAACATGGAAATAATAGGAATAAATTCCTCTCAGAAAAAGGAAATGCAATTCAATGGTTCAGCAAAGGTTTTATTAAGAACAAATAGTATGTACCTGTGAAATGAAACAGCCAGGTCAAAAAAGCCTTGCATCATCTAAACCATTTATTCATGCCTTAGATGAAGGTTTAGAAGGCATGACCATCAAGTTTGCAGACAACATCAAGTTGGGAGAGACAGCCAATACTGTGTCCAATTTTGGGCACCACGATTGAAGGGAGATGTTGACAAGCTGGAATGTGTCCAGAAGAGGGCACAAGGGTCTGGAGAACAAACAGCTGGGCATGTTTAGCCTGCAGAAGAGAAGGCTGAGAGGAGACGTCATGGCCATGTATAAATATCTGAGTGGAAGTCATAGGGATGAGGGAGCAAAGTTGTTTTCCACTGCTGAGAAACAGGAAAATTGCAATCAAAGCACCCCTGACAGATGGCCATCCAGCCTCTTTTTAAAAGCCTCCAAAGAAGGTCTCTTCCAACTCTATGATACTATGATTCTAAACAAAAACATTTTGAATATTCTAGAGAGCACTTAGAAACATTTTCTAAAATGCATCCGGGAATGTTTTTCTCCCTTTTCATCAGCTTTGACTTTTCTTACGATTTCTATTTTGATGCCCAGACTGCTGTTCAGAAGCAGCTGAAGAAGTGGACTCATCTGCTTCTCCCTTTTCCATTTTGCTCTTCACACACACTCAGTAAGAGATTCTGGGGAAGCTGCTATTTACCTTGCTGTGTTAGTCCACCATGCATAGCTTCAGTAGGATCAGTTGTGGTAAAATCCCATTCTTTCCCAGCTCAAGGCTTTATTGGACTGTTTACTGCAGCTATGCTTCTGCAACTTGGCACCAGAAGGTTGCTTCTCCAAGCCTTCACCATGTTTGCAGTGCAGATGTAGATAATGAATTCTGTCTTGACAGAGGACAGGGGTGAAAAGAGAGTGGGCAGGCATAGCAAGGGGTGATGAAAAAGGAGCTTCTTTGACAGACATTTTGCTAACTATACCTGTAGGTGGTTCAATCTAGGTGGGTGTAGAAATCACTGTGATGAATAAATAGCAATAACTTTGGCTGCTAGACTAGACCATTGTTCCATCATTCCTTTTGCCAATGTTCTGCATGGCCTTAGCTACTTTGCTCCAAATATGTATGCTGTAAAGTGACTTCCAACAGCACAAGGCTTATTTTTCACAGATCAGGAGCTATACTTCCATGGTTCTCCTGTTACTAATTCCCTTTCTGAAGTCACACTTTTCACTTTTTGTTTGGGTCAGCAGAACTGATTGCCATGGAAACAGTTATATACATTGAGTGATGCTTGCCAAACTATGGTATATTTTAATGGAACAAGAAACACAGCTGTTGTATGAGGATTCTGGCTCTGCATCATAAAAAGGGAATAATAAACTCAAACTAGATCTGCTATTTCAACCACTCCCAGAGCTTATAGAAAGGGATGTTTCTATTCTACAGGGAGAGAATTATGGGTTCTATGTCTTGAACCTGTTGCTACTCAGAGGCACTTTAAGCACATGCAGAGACAAAGGTGATTTTTAATAGATTTCTTTAGTAAGAAGGGGAATTTATACACTGCAGGATTAAATGGGTTTAATCGGTGCAGGAGAGCCTGGTAAAGTTGCTGTAAGGCAGGGGTTGTTAACCTCTTTTGTTCCATAGATCCTTTTGCCAGTCAGGTGAAAACCACAGACCTCTTCTCAGAATGTAGCAGCAGATAATTTATGACACTCAACATCAACATGTCTTTAAGCAGGACTGCAATGTTGTGTGATCTAGCATTGGGTTTGACAGTTACTGCAATTTCAAAGTATGGATGAGCGTGAGAGATTTTTTGCAATATGCAACAACTATAACATGATATGAAATGAATCCTACTGTCATTCATTGCATATATTCATAATGTAGGAAAGGCTAGATTACAGTCGGAGGTAAGAGAAAATAAAGATAATAAGTTTTTTTTCCATTTCAAGCTCACAGATGCCCTGAAATCTTTCCATAGGTTTAGAAGCCCTGCTGTAGGTGCACCTCTCCCTGCACTTGCAATTCAAGTGCACACAACACACTGAGGACTGTAGGATGCCACAATGTGGTCTAAGGGCTTTGTGGCATGGAGGTGGCAAACTGGCATAGAAGTGGGACTCTCACCTTTGGTGATGGAGTCCCCGGTGGTGCAATGGTTTAAACCCTTGTGCCAGCAGGACTGCTGACCGACAGGTCAGAGGTTTGAATCTGGGGAGAGCGGATTGAGCTCCTTCTGTCAGCTCCAACTCCCCATGCAGGGACATTAGAGAAGCCTCCCACAAGGATGGTAAAACATCAAACATCTCACCATCCCCTGGGCAATGTCAATTCTCTCATACCAGAAGCGACTTGCAGTTTCTTAAGTCACTCTTGACATGAAAAAAAACCAAAACAAATCAAAACCTTTGGTGATTGTTCCTGTTGCATAACATTACATGCTACCCATTTTAAGTTCACTTTCCCCCTGCTACATGGAAGGGACAGAGTTTTAAGGAAACAGAATGAGCATTATCATGACAGTCTGTAGATCTGTTAATCATATTTTGCACTCTTTGGCAAAGAAGACTAAAGATCTGGTAAACTACAACCGCCATGACTGTATAGCCTTTAGCCATAGCAGTTAAAGTTGTGTTAAACTGCATTAATTCTGCAGTGTATATGGACCCTGAGAAGGTTACAGGGACAGCTAATCCATATAACCCTTTCTAGAGTTCTTCCTCTACCTCAAAAGGTTTTGGAAGATGTGTCATGTACCACAATATAAATTCTGGAAGGAGATGAGATATATCATCAGCAAATGGCTCAACAGAAAGTCTCTGCCTTGGGTGGTTGCTCCATTTCTCAGGTGAATCCTCTTGACTCCAAATCAATACTTTCATTTTGACATTTAGATAGAACAAAAATATGTTGGTAGCTACTTCTTGAGTGTCAATCCTGTATACCATACATTTTGACTGTCTCTCATTGCTGTTTTGAAAACCTGGCAATATGACCCTAGTAGGACCAGCCAATAAGAAGGTGTGCTGGGAACAACCAGACTTGGTTGTGTTAATATTTTAAGGGCCAATATTTTTAATGTATTTTTATTGCATGTTAATTGTCGTGCTCTATTTCTTCTCGGCATCTAGTGATTGCCAATTGTGAGCCATCCCGAGTCCCCCTTTGGGGGTTGAGAAGGATGGGATACAAATACAAATACTCTAAATAAATAAATAAATAAATAAGCAAGCAAGCAGTCGTATAACAATGAGGGCTATGTGTTTCCCTTCTCCATTGCATTTTGCACTCCGTTGCACTTTTTTTGCAGACTCCACTAAGTTTGCAAACACTTTTGATCATCTGTGTATAGCTGTGGAAAGCCCTGTACAATGCCATAACCAGAACGAAGTGGGAAACTTACCCCGGGGATGCTGATAGTGTCTAGCTCAATAGTGAATCTTATGCCTGGAAGTTGATTGGAACCAGAACAGTTTCCTGCACCTCCTTCAAAGCAAAGGCATTCTTCCTCCTGACTAAATAGATGACACCACACTGTGTTCATGCAGCCAAGTGGCAAACTTCAGGAAGGCTTCTTTGCACGTGGGCCTCCGAACCTGTTAGTCAAAGTTTGGTGGCTTTGCTTGATTGTTTTGGATAGGGGGTCAAGCCCTGGAAGCTCCCTTTAAAAAAAAACCTTGGGTTTTGTACTACAAAGTTCTTGAATGCTCTCCCTATATGAAAGCCATTGCCTCTTCTTGCTTAGCAACTGCTGCAAAAGGAGACCAAGAAACACAGCTGGATAAGACGAGCCTTGTCTATCATATTCACTACACTGGAGGGATCAGTTGGCAAGCAGCTGTTGGTCTCTGTTAAGTAACAAGCTTTCCAGATGTTTGCATTGGCTCTGGCCAAACACAGCTGTTAAACTGGGCATGCCTTTATTTTCACAACAGGGAGGAGTTATGCGCATTTACTATCCATTCCTTTTCCGCATGGTTGAAAGAGGGAGGGCTTTGCTACTGGCTTCAGAACCATTAGATAAAAACTAATGAGTATGTGCCAAATGAGGTGGCAGGCTGTGAGTTCTGGACTGTAGCTGTCTCTGCAATGTGCTAGCTTACAACATGTAGGAAGCATTTTGAAATGCTTCTCCACAATTAAAAAAAAAAAAGGGGGGGGGGATGCTTCCTGGATCTAGTAAGCTAGCTCACAGGACCATTGGGTTCATGCTACTTCTGCCTTCCTTTCTTCTTGGATGTGCTAATTCACTCCATACCAAGAGGGCTTGTCCCCCCCCCCCAAATCCTTTAAAATCTAGTCACTCGCCTATAGTAGAAAATAGTCAATTCAGAATTTTTGAATGTCCACACAGATTGGTTATTAACTTTTAAACCAACTCATTTTGCATATTTGAGTCTTGGGGTTAGCTACTTGTATTTTTGCATATATTCTTATATAAAGACTGTCAGTCCTCCGGCTCTGCTAGGTTCAGGACAAAAGTGGGAGGAAATGCAAATAAAAAAACACTTGAAAAACCTATTAGAACATCTTTCTAGAAATCTCTAGGTCCTCCAATGTGACTCTGTGGCCAAGTTTCCACAGAGGTTGTCCATTAAGTCACACCAGAGGATCTAGAGATTCCCAGGGAGAACATTTTAATCAAATCTGTAAAAGTCAGACTCACAGAAATGGAAGGCTGACTGTTACATACATGTATAATCCAACGTATCATCACTGACTTTTCATGCTGGAGTATATTCACTGCATACTGATGTTGCATACTAGTTTGCAGATAGATTTTTTCCTTTGGTTGGAATTTACAAAAGCATCCAAGGGGGTTTAGTACTCAACATCCACTGTTTTTATTTTTGGAAAAAACAGTTGAGGTTTACAAGCACTGATTTCTTTCAAAGATCATTGATTATAAATTGGGATGGGGGATGCTATATTTCCATGCTTTGCTACTCCAGAGGTCCCATTCTACCAAGGAACATGAAACCTTTTTCTACAACAATGTATTCTTTAATGCAGGGATAATCTTTCCTAGACCTAGTGGGAGCTGGTAATTTCCATGTCATTGGGCAGTGTGTTCTCTTTGGGTTGTAGTCTGAACTATCCAGAATCATGAATTCAAGCCTTCAAATACATTCAGAACTTTGGCTAGCTCCTTTAAAGTTCAAACTAAATAGACCACATTTTCTACTTCATTGACGGGATACAAAGCTAACTAATAGCTGGCTGGGATGGGTAATATTTTACTTCCAAAGTGCAAATGATTTACAGATGAATCTGGAAAAAGTTCATAAAAGTGGATGAAGTTTGCTGCTCCACTGGTGGCATTCAAAGATTGCTAATAGCTGACTAGGATGGGTAATATTTTACTTCCAAGGTGCAAATGATTTACAGATGAAGCTGGAAAAACTTTCAAATCTTGAGCCACATTTTTCATTGTGATGGCAACCACTTGCTTGTCCTGGACAAAACACCAGGCCTGCCAGTTGCTATGCAGGCCGGGGAGTTTATTTTCAAATGCTGAGTATTAACTTCCCTCATTGGCTTGTGTGAAAAACCCTTCTGTGTGCTGATGACATTCTGGTTGTGATTTCAGAGCTGGGATACAGAATTGGAAGCCATTGCCAAAGACTATGCAACAAAATGCATTTGGGAACACAACGAGGAGAGGGGCTGGCGAGGCGAGAATCTCTTTGCTATGTCTGGAGACCTAGATGTGAAGACAATAGTGGAAAGTTGGTATGATGAATACCAGTATTATAACATGACTACATTAACATGTGAAGAAGGACAGATGTGTGGTCACTATACACAGGTATCCAAATATTTATTTATTTGGTTTATAGGTCTTCTTTCTCCTAAGGCAGCTCATAAAAACCTCAAGCAATGTCTAGGAAATGATGTGTACTGCTGTGTGTGCAGACTTCATTGATGGTTGACAGAACAAAATTATGCAGCAGATTCTATGCTTAGAAATTTTACAATGTTTTGGTTTGATCTCCATACGTTCTGGCTTCAGTAGAAATTTTACTTTCATAGTTTCTTAGGGAGCACATCTGGATAATCCTAGAATTATCCACTAGGGTCGCCTGCGGGCTGAGAAGGGCGGTATACAAATATAGTAAATAAATAAATAAATAAATAATAAATAAATAGGGTGGTGAATCCACTCTAGGTTCTGGTTCAAATTTTAAAGAAGCCTTACAAAGTGCTGAACCCAATCCTCTATGTTAGTTTCAGCACTGATAGCTATTTTAAAGTTTACTCTAAAACCTGGAGTGGATTTATCATCCTGCTGACATGGGAGTCATTTGCCACCACTGATTTCCAGGCTATGTCGAGGGAGGTAATGATGTTCAGCTTGTAGTTCTGCAATATATAATTTTTATGCACATTGTTACTTTCCTCGTAAAGATCTCCTGACGCCACTATTGCTCCTCCTGTCAGTGGGGATTTTTCCTTTATAAAGAAATGTGTGTGTACACATAGTTGGTATACATGAAATGAAATGTTCACTTACCTAAATTGCACAAGACAGTCTTTCCACTCTCATTACCCTCCAGATGTGTTGACTATTTGCTGTTATGTTCTTTAAAGTCATTTCCAGTGTATGGCGACCCTAAGTCAAACCTGTCATGGCACAATTTGTTTAGTAGAGTTTTGTCTTTGCCTTCCTCTGAGGCTGAATGAGTGAGTTTCAATGGCTGAGTGGGGAGTCCAACACTCAAACCATTTTACCACATTGGTTCTAGTGTTTGACTATACCAGTGGTTTCCAACCTTTGGTCCTCTGGGTGTTTTGGACTTCAGCTCCCACAGTTTCTAACAGCTGGTAAGCTGGTTGGGATTTCTGGAAGTTGAAGTCCAAAATAATGGGAGGACCAAAGGTTGGGAACCACTGGACTATACTTTGTCAATGCTGACTTTGTTTATGTTGGCAATGCAACAACACTTAGCACTGAAGAGTAAAGAATGTCCCACAATGGGCAATAGTATTTGGGCTAGATGAGTGGTTCTCAACCTGTGGGTCCCCAGATGTTTTGGCCTTCAACTCCCAGAAATCCTGACAGCTGGTAAACTGGCTGGCATTTCAGGGAGTTGTAGGCCAAAACACCTGGGGACCCACAGGTTGAGAACCACTGGGTTAGATAGTTTGAGTGACATGAAGTGCTCTTCCTCAGTGTCTACCTATCCTGACCCCTCTAATACTAATACTCTTAGGGATGTTTCCTTCATCTCTTCTTCTTTCTGTGAATCCTCCAAGATATAATCTTGTGTCTGGGGTAGCTTCCTCACTTTGCCTAATGGTTGGGACAGCACTGTCAATTGAAGCTAAATAAAAAAATACCCTGTCTAAGAATATTATCTAAGAAACAGAGACAGCGTGAAAAAAAAAAGCTAAAGAAATGCCATCTTATGAGAGAAATGTTTGGATTTTCAGGAATAAATGAGAAGATGCATGGTATCCATGTAAATGCAGAGTCATCTTCTGCAAGCTGTTTTTCTTCTCTTTTTTCCCTGCTGCTTTAGGTGGTTTGGGCAAACACCGAGCGTGTTGGCTGCGGAACGGTTTTTTGTGAGACCCTGGAAGTTCTCAATGACACCGATATGCATTTAGTAGTCTGCAACTATGAACCCCCGTAAGTGCCTTTCCTGCCTTACCCTACCCTACCCTAACCTATCTTACCCTATCCTACTTTACCCTACCCTAAACATGAAAGACCCATTCATGTTCCAATTGAATTGATTTTCAGTCAGGTCAAACTAAATGTTTGTTTAGCTCAGCAATGCTGCTGATTCAAGTGTAACAGGCAAAAGTGTCCTATCTCCTTCATGTCTCTTTAGCAGCTGAGGGGAAAAAGGATGGGGCCTGAAGCTAGGAATTGTGGGAGTTGAAGTCCAAACCACCTGGAGGGACAAAGTTTTCCCATGCCTGTTCTAGAATCTCAGTGCATAATGGTAATAAGTATCTAGTATTCTAGCCTCTTTAGCCATGCACTAATACAGTTACCTGGAAGAGTTTTGCTCAACAAAATGCCTTATTTGTTTGAGTCAATTTGAGTAATTTTAATTTTTAGGGGGAATGTAAAAGGACGTAAACCATACAAGGAAGGCGAGCCATGTTCCATGTGTCCAGAAGGTTATTCATGTAAGGATGCTCTCTGCGGTAAGTGTCTGGAACTAGAGAAGTTCTCATGTAAAAGCAGGTGAGGCAGCAAGATCCTTATTTGCACGCTATTCCCATGGACTAGACGTATGATGTGTAAGGGATAGCAAACTTCCAACTTTGAGTAACTCCAGGAATGGCCCAAATAAATAAAGGTGTGAATACATACTGGTATGATAGGAAGAGCCGTGTTCTCTTCCAGTTTTGTTCTACAATATTTATAGACCAATTTCTTATTTATTTTATTTCTATCCCATCTTTCTTTTGGCTGGGGAAACAAGATAGCTTACACAAGTGCTTAAACAAGAAAATACTAAAAAAGGATAATAAAATGTTAAAACATAATGGTCCTCTTAAAATGTCCTTTCATTTTTAAAAGTGTGAAATTATTTGAAAGCATAATAATAAAATAATACTCTGAAGATTAAGCTACACTTGATCTGGTCTCTTTTCTTTTGGCAGACAAATCAAATGGCATATCCTTTATGGTTAAATTAAATTAACAACAATAATTTGCCCCTGTCTGACTATTACTGGTTCTTTATCTGAGACAGGCCCTCTCAACTGTCTGTTCCTTATATTTTGACTGTGATATCACTTACTAAAGCTGAGCCACAGACCCTTTTGAACCTGTGGCAGAAAATTCAAGTGGTCACCAAGCCCAAGTTGTAAATAAATAAGGTAGTTGAGAACTTGGTGCCCTTTAAAAGCATCCAAAACCTGCAGCCTTTGAGACGATGACCTCACTCTGTCTCACAATAGGGCCAACCCTGTGATTAGCACAGAAATGTGGCTCATGAAAGTAAAAGATCAAATTGTTCTTCTGCATGACCTTCTGGAAATAGGTTGTGGCTGTATGGGTGTGTGCAAGCTGATTTTGCTGCTAACTTTTTTGTTACCAGAATCCAGTGCTGATGAGGAAACTACTTCATCTCCTGGACCCACCTTGAGTGAAACCCTAGCTCCAGAAGACACCACAAAAGGCTCATCACCAGAAACACCAGAAAGTACGCAAACTGGGATAGAAACAGGATCTGATACTCCAATGGCAGGAGGGCCAACCACTTCCCAAGAGTCAGCTTTAGACGTGGACCTTACAAAATCTCCAGAACTTCAGGCAAACGCAGATGGGACCGTTCCCCCTTTGGTGACTACAGGAGGCCTAGAGGACTTAACTCCTAGTCCTACCTCCCTACAAACTCAGCAAGATACCCATACAGATATTCCTTCATCTGATGGTTTAATCACACCCAAACCTACCATGGAGAAACCAGTACATTCTACCCCCAAATTGCCCTCCACTCCTAAACCACCATCCAAACCGCCGTCCATTCCCAAACAGCCACCCATCCCCAAACCACCTTCTGTTGCTAAGCCTCCCTCATATCCCAGACCTCTATCCTTCCCTAAGCCTCCCTCGGACCCTAAGCTTCCCCCCATCTCTAAAAAACCTGCAAGCCATCGTTTGTCAGCCTATGCCAAAGCTATAAAAAGACAAAGCAATGCCATTCAGTCCTCTGCAGGTAAGGCAGATTCAGTCTCTGTCTGCCTGCCCTGTCTTGGATGTAAACAAATTGCCCATCATGAAGAAATAAAGGTTGCCCTGAAAGAGCTGACTTTCCGATACCCCTACGCTCCTTGTTTTTCCTCCCTTCCCCGGTGGCAGAGACATAGCAAGTGCAGCTGGTGTGGGCACACTTGGGGGAATGCACTTAGGAAAGCTAGGCCTTACTGGCTCAACTCTTTATAGCAGTGTATGTAATTAAAGGTATTTATAAGGAGAGTTCTTCAACTTTGGTGCATGGATGTGCATGTGTGCCCATGTACAGGCATGCATGTTTTCTTTTCTGCACTTTTGTGAGGGTTCCAGTCTGCTGGGAATAGCATTGTAGCATGCCTAAGGCTTTGAACACTTGGCAAACTGTGGTTCAAACTTCACCAAAACAATGGGGCTTCCAACAATGCTCAAAGATGTATGTGTTAAGTGATGTGGTTTCTTTTTAAAGACCCCAATGTTTTTCAATAACCAGGAATGTGGTGCATGTCTGACCTTTTTTCCTATTTTATTTTCACATGAGCTTTACAGGGGGTCAGAATCCAGATCTAGAACACTGTCATGGAGCCCCACACTACCAAGAACTCACCTGTGATGAGTAGAAATGTTCACAATTATCCATATTATTGCAGATGCCATAGTTGTTAGTAGGATTGTGTTTGTGTATCACTCCTCTGTTTTTCCATCTTGGCTGTGGTTTGGGAACCAGAAATAATAATAAGTTTATTTTTGTACCCGCCTCCATCTCCCCAAAGGGACTCAGGGCGGCTTATATAGGGCTGAGCCCGATCAACATGGTTAAAATATAGCTCATTAAAATATATAAACAACAACATTATTACAAAATATAAAAGCAAAACATCAAAACATCAAACCAATAACCAACGGGAAAGTCCATCCCTATACTGGAGCTTCTACTTGTCAATCCATTCCTGGTCTGAAGTGTCATAGATCATATGAAACTGAATCTTATAAGTAGTTTTAGTAATATAGACTGTGTTACTCTCTTTAATTTGTTCCAAATGATGGACCTGTTTTTTTAAACCTAAAACACAAAGTTGTAGGTTTATAACATAATTGTTCATGCCCAGTCCTGCAGGCTGAGGTAACCTGCCCATCCAGAGGAAGTGAATGACTGATTGGAGAGACTGATGTGAGTCTGTGTAAAAACACAATGTGCATGAGCTGCATCTGCCAATAAATAAATGATGGTGTGCACAAGCCTCAGATATTTGTGTGGGAGATGGATTGTGTGTGTTGAATGAGTTGTTCCAGATTTCTCCCCCTTATCAGATTGTTACATTATTTAGACCAAATAACTGTCTTAGTGATTCTTGGCCCTTTCTCCAAATCTCTATCTGAAGAGCTGATCTGCTTGCTGCATCACTTTCTCGCTAATTCTATCTCTTGATCCTCAGAGGGCCTGTCTGCATTATCTTGCATTCATAATTGGGACATGAGTTAGACTTGATCTCTCTTTAGTTGTGCGCAGGTATATTGCATGACGCACACTCTTTCTTTCCATTGCACTGGATCTGCATGGAACCAGAAAAACTCCATTTCTCCTCAGCTGATTTTTCCTCTTCTTCTTTTTTCAAAAAAATCAAAGCAGGTGGCAGTGTTACTGAAGATCTACTGATGGATCCACCCAGGAAAGATTCACAGACGACCATCTGTTCAAACAGCCATTCTTTCTTGTTGTTTACCCCTCTTTCCTTATTATTCACTCCCATTCTGCACAGCATTCTCTTCTGAGACTGCTACATAATTTGTCCTCATATTTTCTGAGATACCAGTGATTTTTTTCATCATTCTGCTCTTTGGAGTACATTTTTTTGGCCTGAAATACAAAGTTGTAGGTTTATAAGATAACTGGAAATCTGACTTTTGTGGATTTATTTGTGGATTTGTTTTGATGTACTCTCTAAGAATCTCCAGGTTCCCCAAAGCAATTCTGTAGTCAGCTTCTACTGGGGATTGACCATAGAGTTATACAGAGGATCTATATCAGGCATTGGCAAACTTCGGCCCTCCAGGTGTGTTGGACTTCAACTTCCATCATTCCTAACAGCCTACCACCTGTTAGGAATGATGGGAGTTGAAGTCCAAAACACCTGGAGGGCCAAAGTGTACCCATGCCTGATCTAAAGGGTTAATGACTAATTACTATCATCTTGGCTAAGCATTCCAACAGTTTATTCAGTGACATGACAATGCTGGAATGTTAGAGATTTTTACCTGGAGAGTAGAAATGGGAATGCTTGGAGGGGAAAACGGAAAAACTAGGGGGGAAAAAAACAGTTTTGTCCCATTTCTTTCCAAAGCCATTTTCCCCAGAAAAACCGATCATAAGTGTGTAGAAACAAAAAGTCTCAGAACTCTTTCATTAAGGTCTTTGTGCTATATAGCTTGAATACCATGTCATAGCTGTATAATTTATCATTGGAAAATAACATATTCTACGCACTTTCTATTTTTCTGGAAAAAAATGGCTTTGGAAAAAAAAAGTTTTCCCCATTTTTTTCTGGTTTTTTCCCCAGGCCTTCCCATTTCTACTGGAGAGTATGTTCCATTGATTTTTCAGATTTAGGAAACCTACTTTTTGGACTACTATACTACACCTAGAATTCTTCAGCCAATAGGGTGTTGGTCATGGTGACTGGGGGCACTTCTGAGAGTTCAGTTTCAGTTAAAAAAAAATCCCACATCTTTCGCAATTTACTAACTTTATATTCTTCATTACAACTGCAGGTATAACTACATCTATTGTGATAGCAGCAACAGCAGTTCTTGATGGACCACTCATGGAAGGTTCATTGGAGAGAGTGCTAGGAAATATTAATTAGATTCAGCGGCAGTGATAAAATTGTAGGTGCTAAATAATATAGTTGCTCTCACTTGTATCCCTAAATCAGACAATAGCTTTATCCCTCTCTCACTATGGCATGCTGGCTTTTCCTCTTGCTGCTGGCATTTCAGAACCAGCCTGTGTTGGTTCTCTAGTTGCCTGAAATGGCTATGTAGAAATAATTCTGTCCCATCCTATACACCAGGGGCCCACTTACATTACACAAATAAAGCATCATGAATCCATTTTAAATATCATGGTTCCATCATATGGAATCATGGGACTTGAAATTTAGGGAGGGCATTTTGAAATATCAACCAGAGAGCTCCAATATCTCACAAAATTTCAAACCCCAGGATTTCATAGAATGGAACCCTGGTAATTAAAGTAGAATAATAATACTATCATTGTATTGTTGAAGGCTTTCATGGCCAGAATCACTGGGTTGTTGTAGGGTTTTTGGGCTATATCACCATGTTCTAGAAGCATTCTCTCCTGACATTTCGCCAGCATCTATGGCAGGCCAAAAATATATACTCCAAAGAGCAGAATGATGAGAAAACCCTCTGAGGATGCCTGCCATAGATGCAGGCGAAACATCAGGAGAGAATGCTTCTAGAACATGTCCATGTAGCCCGAAAAACCTACAACAACCCAATACTATCATTGTGTAGTGTGTCTGAGGCCCATGCTTGTCAGAGCAATGGCTCATCAGACCAACTTCGTGCCCAACTTTGATTCCTATCATTCAGTCATCGATGCTGCTTGGAAAGGTTATAGGGCTACACTACCCAGAAGCTCTCAGCCATTCTCCCTAAGGGATTTTGAGAGGTGTAGTTCAGACAAATAACGGTTCCAAGTTCTTTCCCACCCAGTGTCTATGTATGGCTATCCTTTCCTTGGATCTAAAGGAGACTTCTTCATGACTCAGTGAAGGTTATTTCATGCAGTTACAATTCTATTTCATATCAGGAAAAATAATCAGATCTAGGAGTTATTCTTCAGCTTTGCATTGCCTTTTACCTACTGTATAGCCTTTCCATTCTGTTTCCATTTAGCAAAAAAGGATATTATTGGTCTGTAAAACTGCCAAAACCACATCTAAGTATTCCCTAAGAAAACCCTATGAAACTCTTCTCCATAGGTTGACAGATGACTTGAAAGCAGATACACACAGAGAGAACAATTTGTGGTGTGATTTGCAGTGTTTTTATAATAATCTCTCTCATTTTGGAGCTACTTAACCTAAGTCAACAATGACACGGAATGCATCTTGGACATGAAAAAGTGTGGAAAGTTCTTCAAAATATCAGACCAAACAGAACTGGGTTTTACTCTATGAAGAATAATGGCCAAATTGCTGGGCAATTAGGTCAATTGTACATCACAACCAAGACTTTTTTCTCACCATATTGCTGATGGATTTGTGCATTGTTCTATTCCAGGCATGGTGTGTTACTCTTATGACAAACCTCAGTTGGTCCAGCTCAGATCCATTTTGAAGGTGCCAATTGAATATTGTATCCGCAAATGTGGTGTTTTTTATGTTGTTGAGAAGGGGCTACATTTTAATGTACAATGAGTTAGCATTGTAAGGCACGTTTTAAATGTGCCTGGAAAGTGGTGCTAAAAATAAAAGCTATTTTAAAAGCCATTGGTTTGGAAAATGAACTCTTTTAAAAAAAATACATGTATGCTAAATGCTGAGGGGTGTATTTCTGTGGCACAATTTTGAAATCGTGGAAGAAATGAAGATGATTTACTCTCATTAGGTTCACATGAAGCAGCTACCCTAAATGCCGATGGGGTTGGTCAACGTAGGATGAAATCTCAGGCATGTCTAAACTGCAGCTGTTGGGCAGGGCATTCTAGAACATTCTACAAATAAATATTTAAACACCCAGCAGCTGCAGTTTATCCACGCCTAAGATTTCATTCTACACTGCCTCATCCCCATCATTTACTCTTTCCCCCATCCCCAATGCAGATGGTGGCAATGGAGAAGATTCGTGAAGACTATGTGCCTTCAGTCATGATTTGGCCCTGGTGAAAGGTACATATTCGAGGTAGCTAGGCAGCCAATTCATCCCACTTCTTATATTCACTGTGGCTCATGCCAAGAACACAGGAAATGCTCAAGAATCTGGGAGTGGCTATGTTGCTACAGTGTGGTTGCAATGTGATGCTACACTCAAGACAGGTCAACACTTCAGCCTTAAATCTGTTTTATTTTATATAATAACCTGCCAGAGCCTTTCCACTAAATTGTCGGAAATACAGTTAAATACCTCTAGCTCCTCATGCCAATGATAATGCCTAGAGTTTTGTTTTTGTTTTGGGACAGGGAATAACAAAATGCATCATTTCGGACAGATTCAAGAGCATTTTTGTGTTTACATGGTATTTTGTTGGCCTGTGGACATCAGGATGAAAGGATGGGCTTAAAGGTAACACAGCAGAAAGTTAGAAGATGACGGACAATTATATAAAGTGTTCCCTCGCTACTTTGCAGTTCGCTTTTCACGGACTCGTTGTTTCCCGGTTTTTAAAAAATGTGAATTTAAAATGGACGATACAAGTAGCAAGGAAACACTGGAGGAGGAAGGAGGGCCAGATGGATGGATGGCTCCCTGCTTGGCCTGGATCCGAGCAGAAAGGACCTGGCAGTGGCAGTGGCGGTGTAGGCTCAGCCTCCTTGCCCTCTTTACCTTCCTTATCCTCCTAGGCACCTCTCTTCCCACCAACAGACCTGGCCCGTTATTCCCTCTGCTGCTTGGGCCCCACAACACCTCCTCTGTCTCCTCACATGGAGGAAAGGCAGGTGCTGCGGCTGCTGCTGCTCCAGAAGTTTCCAGAGTCCAGAGCAGATAGCCCCAGCGGAGGAGGCTCCTTGTCGTCACCTGAGCCTCCACTGCCCACTGAAGGGAGCCCCCTGGAGGGAAGAAGAGCTGCCCAAGGAAGGCGGGCCATGGCTTTCGGGAGCCATCCCTGCGCAGCATTACTACCACCACTACCACTAGTGAGTGTGTGTGTGTGTGGGGGAGGGAGGAAGCAGTACATATATAGCATCCCTACTTTGTGGATTTTCACTTATTGCGGGTGGTCCTGGAATGTAACACCCACAGTAAGTGAGGGAACACTATAGAGTCATTTTTTTCATGTCAGGAGCAACTTGAGAAACTGTGAGTCACATATGGTGTGAGAGAATTGGCCATCTGCAAGGACGTTGCCCAGGGGATGCCTGGATTTTGTGATGTTTTATCATCCTTGTGGAAGGCTTCTTTCATGTCCCCGCATAGGGAGCTGGAGCTGACAGAGGGAGCTCATCCACGCTACCCCCACATCCGAACCTCCAACCTGTCAGTCTTCAGTCCTGCCAGCACAAGGGTTTAATCCACTGTGCCACCAGGGGCTCTATACAGAGCCATGGCTAATATCCACACTGCACAATTGCAGTATAGCAACTCGATAGTACTGTGAGTGCCATGGCAGTATCCTGTGATATTAACTGTGGGTTTTACTCCCTTAACTGGGAGTAAGCCACACTGAACTTATCAATAGTTTGCAAGTAAACATGGCCAGGAGTTAACTGTAAATTACTTTATACCACCCCACAAATATGGGAACATTAGCTGAATCTTAAGTGAGAAATACTTATTCCTGTAAAATTTCAAAGATTAGAAAGAGGAGGCGATTCTCATGATAATTATAATGCTTGAATACTGATGAAATTGTAAAACTGGTCCACTCTCAGTTGCATTGAATAATAAGCATCCTGGATTATGCTTTGGGAGATAACATAATGTTAACACAGGGCGTTGCTGTTCTGATTACATAGTATTTCAGCAAGAGCATTACTGAGGGTCTTTCTGAGTTCGGTGTATGGTAATTCTCCATTAAGTAGGGCGAGGTTTCCTTTGCTAATATCTCTGTGATGATATTGGAGTAGTTGTATAATAACTAGCGGAGGTTTTTTGAGGTCACGTATTCCCGTCAGCTGTTCTAACCTGTAGCCGGTAGATGGCACTGATGAAGGCACACGGTTTCTTTTTTTCAAGCAGGAAAAGCAAATGCACACCCCTGAGCCACACTGAACAGAGAGAGCAAACATATTTCTGGCACAGGCCTACAGAGATCTAAGCTTCTTTAATTAATCAGAACCTCAGTTGTAGTTACGTATCAAATCAAAATTGTACTTCCACAGGATGAATTTAGTATCATCTCTAAGATAATTCATATTATGGAGATAATCAGATTTAAGACCTAATGATGCTTCTTTCCAAGAGTAACCAGTAACCATTCTCCCATGTCCTGAAATGGCATGTGCTGAGATGATCACATAACCGTGTGTGTTTTAACTGTTGCATGGATTTTGTTCTATTCAAACCATGCCAATTTGGGGACCCTGAGAACAGAAGTGTTGACATTTTTATAGTTGCATACACATGCAGGGTGAATTATTTGCCCTACGACAACAGAAATATTCTTCTGACAGCAACAGATTTGGATATGCACCTGCTGCAACCTTACACATTGCAATTATGCATTGCACCCTGCAGTTGTACACTGTGCATTGAGCTCTCACATGGCACCGTGACACCCATTCATTCACGTGTGCTGTATAATATCAATTGCCTGTATGTGGATGGTGTGGTGCTGGTGGAGTACAATACATGTGGATATTTATGCTACACTCAAGGGATGTTGAATTGTGGCTAACTTCATTAAGAATGATGCATATTCTCTCATATTAGCCTGCTCAGCCTGAAAAAGGATTTTCTTTGTGATATGTGTCTCAGTAATCAAACTTGCAAAGTCTGCATTTCTGTTCTAGTGACCAATCACAAAACAAAGTGACAAACAGGAACCTTTTAGAATTTAGGGGATGACCATTGCAAAGAAATGTGACAGATGTATTGATCTTGCGTCTTTTGATTTCTCTGTAAAAAGAGAGTTTTAGAGGTGCAGCTACACCTCTTCCTTGGGTGGAAGCTTCCTCCTTTAAGGCTTTTAAATAGAGGCGGGATGGCCATCTGTCAGGGGAGCTTTGATTGTGTTTTTCCTGCATGGCAGGGGGTTGGACTAGATGGCCCATGTAGTATCTTCCAACTGTATGATTCTATTATTCTACATACACTGTAGAATTAATGCTGATTAATACCACTTTTGTTGCCATGGCTCAATGCTGTGGGATGATGGAAATTGTAATTTTACAAAGTCTTTAGCCTTTTCTACCAAAGAGTACTGGTGCCATACTAAACTACAAGTCCCAAGATTCCATAGCATTGAACTATAGCAAATAAACTGCATTAGTTCTATTGTGTAATAAAAATTTAACAAATTTTGTTACCACACCACTGGCTTTAAAGCAAAAACAATCAGAGCTCATATTTTCCAGGCTTGAAAAAAACTTGCAAATGCTCTATTGAGGGGTCAGAAATGGAGCTGCTGACTCCAAAGGGAGCTTGGCTGGAGTGAGTTGGCTTGCTCTTAGATGCCAATAACTTTTCAGAGAAGCACACATAGACAGAGAGCAAATAGTAAGAAGAAAATTTTTTGACTGGGCTACAATGTTCTTTGTCTCTTTTATGTATGCCTCCTGGTGGCGCAGCAGGTTAAACTGTTGAGCTGCTGAACTTGCTGACTGAAAGGTGGCTGGTTCAAATCAGGGGAATGGGGTGAGGTCCCGCTGTTAGGCCCAGCTTCTGCCAACCTAGCAATTTGAAAACATGTGAATGTGAGTAGATCAATAGGTACCATTCCGGCAGGAAGGTAACGGCGCTCCATGCAGTCATACCGGCCACATGTCCTTGGAGGCGTCTATGGATAACGCTGGCTCTTCGGCTTAGAAATGGAGATGAGCACCACCCCTCAGAATCAGACACAATTAGGCTTAATGTCAGGGGAAACCTTTAACTTTACTTTTTATGCTTAGCAGGCCTAGTCTTTTGACAGTGTTACTATTACCCACTTGCTCTCTCCCTCCATTACAATCCTCCACCTTGGCACACCAAAACTCTAAGATTCCAGCTTCTTCCTTCCTCCTGCACATTTCCTTCTAAGCAAGAAAGGAAATCCCTTTCTTCTTACAATGCCAATACTGCAATTGCTTTCTTTCCCATCTATTTTATTTGTCATGTCAGGGCAACCAGTCACTTATATTACATTTCTAACAGAACAAAGCAAACAAACAGACAAAATACAAAATTTGTGAGTTTGGTAGTTGATTAAATGCCCTTTGACCAGTATCTGGCCACTTGAAGTGCTTCTGGTGTTGCTGCAAGAAGGTCCTCCATTGTGCATGTGGCAGGGCTCAGGTTGCATTGCAGCAGGTGGTCAGTGGTTTGCTCCTCTCCACACTCGCATGTCGTGGATTCCACTTTGTAGCCCCATTTCTTGAGGTTGGCTCTGCATCTCGTGGTGCCAGAGCACAGTCTGTTCAGCACCTTCCAAGTTGCCCAGTTTTCTCTGTGCCCAGGGGGGAATTTCTCATTTGGTATCAGCCATGGATTGAGGTTCTGGGTTTGAGCCTGCCACTTTTGGACTCTCACTTGCTGAGGTGTTCCAGTGAGTGTCTCTGTAGATCTTAGGAAACTATTTCTAGATTTAAGTCGTTGACGTGCTGGCTGATACCCAAACAGGGGATGAGCTGGA